TTAGAAAACTTTGCTGTGTATAATCAGAGGCTCCCCACCCCCTCCCTGTATACACAAAAGTTGTTTGTTTTTGCAAAAAAGGGAAAAAAGAGCACTGAACGGAACTGCAAATCAGTTGGGTGTGATCTTGGACAAGTTACCAAGGCCCTATCTGTTGTGTTTTTAGGTGTTGGGGTTGGAGAGGTGCTGTTTCAGATTTCTTTCAACTACCATCCTGTGACCCTGCGGGACATCCCAGCTCTGCTTTATGGTGCTTTGTGCATCAGAAATGACTCAGGGCACACAACAGCTTTTCAGAAGTTAGTGCTGGCTTGGTCTCTCCATCTCCTGTCTTCTTACATTAGACTGCTGCCAGGGTGCAGGTCCCAGAGCGCATGCCATTCAGAGGAGGCAAGCACATTTCTGTCATTTGCAGATGCTTTGTTTATCTGCAACCTACTTTCTCTCACTCTCTTGTGATTTTTTATTTTTTTTTTTGGTATGATGGTGGCTTGTGTGTTGCTGTGATGCTAGAAGCCATGTCACGAGTATTTAAAATGTCAGCAGGGTTAGGCATGCTGGATAGGTTCCCCGAGGGCTGGGGGTGGGTTATGGGAGGGGGATGCTTCCAGATTAAGAAAGAGTAAGATGAAAGGACTGGTCACTAAGCACTTCGTGAATAGCAATGGAGCACTGTCTGACATAACACCGAAAGATGAGCTCAGGTTGGAAGGCATTCGAAATATGGCTGGGAAGAATGGCCTTCTCAAAGTAGACTTGATTTTAATGATGTTGTGGTAGGTACATAATCTAGTGTCAATTTGGGACTTGAGAGAATTAAGAGTGAAGGGGTGGAGACTAGTCTGTCAATGAGGTCCCTTTATGGATTTCAGCCCAAGGAATAACCACGACGCCATAAAGGCTTCTTCTATGGTCTATGTTAATGCACTAGCTAGCTTGTTGTAAATACTTGGACCTTCTTGACTGTTCCTGAGGGGTTTATCTGTCCTGGATTCCATGTGTCGAGGTCTCTTATCTGTACCAGTGTACATGCTCTGGTCTAGCTGCATTCGTAAGGTAGAACTGAGGTCATGATAATGGGGAGGAGAAAGCATTAAAGAACTAGAGGAATGTTGTGTGTTCTGTAGGTGCTATGCTGAACTCTAGATGTCTAATTCTTTCCTTGTGACCCTTCTGTGAGGGAATGTCCAATGGTCTACAGATAGGCTTTGGTTCTCCATTCTGACTCCCATCATTTGCATCGATATAGTTGTTTGTTTGTTTGTTTGTTTGGGGTCTTCTAATGCCTAATACTTTATCCCGTCTATCTCTTGTGATCACACAGGTTGGTGTACTTCTTCCATGTGGGCTTTGTTGCTTCCCCGATAGATGGGCACTTGTTTAGCTTCAAGCCTTTCTGACCCAAGATGCTATATCTTTTAATGGCCAGGCACCATCAGCTTAGTTCACCACATTTGTTTATGCACCCATTTTGACTTCAGCATTCCTGTCAGGAAGGTGAGCATCACAGAATGCCAGGTTGTTAGAACAAAGTGTTCTTGCATTGAGGGTGCACTTGAGTAGAGGCCCAATGCCTGTCTGCTACTTAATGCTTAACATTTAAATATATGTATGTAGACCTATATCCCTATTATTATATATTAATGTATTTACCTATATGCATGTCTCAATTTATGCCTCCATAAATGTCTTTTCCCTCCTACTTCTTTCCTCTATTTCTTTTTACTTTCCTCCTGTCCCGCTATCATGTTCAACCTTCATTTGACTCTCAGTACTTTCTGTTTCATTGCTCTTGATCACACTCCACCAGACATTCTATGCCCTCCTTGCCATTGACTTTAAATATCTCTTATTGTTCCCTTGTCCCTGGGTTTGTTGGCTTCCCCCTCCCTTTCTCCCACCTCCTCCTCTTTCATGTACCCCCAGAGCCATCGGCCCTGTTTTCTCCTTAGTATTGGTTATCCTCCCTATCCTATATGGATAGACCTGAGACAAAGGAAAAGAAAAAATAAAGGGAAAAAAAAAGGGAAAAAAAGGGGAAAAAAAGGAGAAAGAAACAAACTAAAAAACACAACACACCCAAAAAAAACCCTGCCTGTAAAGAGTTCCACGTCTGTCTGCCGACCCTTCTGAACGTCTTCCAATCCGCTCTGGTGAAGTGCCATGCCCTGCTCACTATTCTGAGGTTTATTTTTCAGAATTCACCAGGTACTTCATTGTTCTGCTCCTCTTGTTCTGCTGAGCTCCCTTTGTGGGGGGTCAGACAGGGCACAAGTCCCACTCTGAGTCTCCAGGGCAGTCCCCTGGAGCCCTGTGGGTCAGTGAGGAGACGTCGAGTCTCATGGTGGGGCCAGCCCCATGGTCCTCTCTGTGCATTGGCTGCTCTGAGCAGGAATGTTGTCCTTCAGGCTTGGTGGGCCAGGTTGAGGTTTGCTCTCTGGAACCCTTACTCTTATAGTATAAATGTCGTTATTATAATTATTTTGCCATGTCTTACACCATCCACTGTATCTGCTCCTACAATTCTGTTGTCTCCCTTGAGTGGGGTTATACAGTCATCTTCACTATTGGTTCCCTCCTTCCCCCCACTCTCTTCCTGTACCCCCAGGGAATCATTGCTCCCATTACTATTTCTGCTGGGTTTATCTATCTTGGATTTCATGCATCAAATGATCTTCATTATACACATGAATATTCACAGGTATAACAAACTTAATGGGATAAAACTGGGATCATAATAGTAAGGGGAGGAAGTATTAAAGAACTAGAGGATAGTTATGTTTTTCATCAGTGCTATACTGCCCTCTGGATATAGCTTCCCTCCCGTGTGCCCCTTCTGTGAGGGTCTGTCCATTTACCTTACAGGGGGGTTTGGGTTCTCCACTTTGTCTCTACTTCTTCACATCAATTTAATTGTTTGTTTTTGAACTTGTGATACATATTCTTGTCTACACCACGATCACACAGGCTGGTGTGCTTCTTCCATTTGGGCTTTGTTGCTTTCCTGCTAGATGATTGCTTGTTTAACAACAAGCCTCAAAGACGCTATATCTTTTGATGGCCAGCACCATCAGCTGTCTTCACCACATTTGCTTATGAACCCATTTTGTCTTCAGTGATCGTTTTGGGAAGGTGAGTATCACACATTGACACATTATTAGCACAAACTGTTCTTGTACGGAGGTAAGACTTAAGTAGAGGTCCAAAGTTCATCTGTATACACACACACACACACACACACACACACACATTGACTAATATACCTATCTTTACATATTTACATATCTTTTATGCATATATACCTATCTATACCTATATATATGATGATTATTTTCTAGTCCTTTCCTCCTTTTTTTTTTCTTTCTACCTGCCCCACTATTATGTTTCCTTATCTTTCATCCCTCAGATACATTTCAATTGATCAAACACAATCCAGAATGCTACACCCTTCTCTCCATCGATTTTATAGATCTTGCTATTTCCCTGTCTCTGTCATTATTGGATCTTCACTCCCTTCCCCATGCCTCCTCCTCTCCCATGCCCCCCACCCCAGCCCCCACAACTTTCAGTCCAATTGCTGTCTCCTTGGGATTGCTTATCTTGTCTATCTTATATAGATAGACACCAAAAGAGAAAATAAAAAAAAGAAAAGAAAAGAGAGACCATACAAGTAGTTCCAGGTCTAGCTGTTGTCCTGACCCAGAATTAAAGAGTATCCCTCTGTTAAATAGCCAGCAGACTCTGTTAAAGTCTGTCGGTTTAATCCCCTTTTCTTTCAGGGAACCCTTTCCCAAGACCCTCTTACCTAACGTCTCTTATACCCTTTTAGTCTTCAGTGTTCACGTCCAAGTGGTGTGTGACCTCATTGCTTTCCTTGGAGTCCAGGATGGAGTGGTCTAGTGCCTCACCCCCCACTCTGTCACACCTTTAAACTTTCTGTGTGGCCCCCTTGTGTATATCCTCCAACCAGTGTAGATGAGGTGCCAAGCACTGTGCCCCGTAACCCCCCAGTCAGAAGTCTACAATCTGGATTCCTCAGGGACTTCGTGACTTTGCGCCCATTGCCGGTCTGTTGCACTCCCCTCTTGGTTTGCCCCATGTTGGCAGGTCAGGCCAGCACACTCCTTGAACTGTATCTTCAGTGCTGTCCTCTGTAGCGCTGTTATTTAGGGAGGGGACGTCATGGCTCAAGCTGAGGCTGACCCAGAAGTCCTCTCTGTGGTCAAGCTGCTCTGAGCAGAAATGTAGCCCTCAAGGCCTGGCATGCTGGAATGTGATCTCTCGCTCTCCCTTTTCTTTCTTTTCTTTTCTTTTCTTTTTTTTATCATTTTATTAGGGGCTCATACAACTCTTGTTGTCCTCCGCAGGGCCATGGGTCAGTGAGGGGCATCATGTATCATACTGGGCCTGGCCATGTGGTCCTCTCTGTGGACAGGCTGCTCTAATTGGGGTCATCGTCCTCAAGGCCTAGTGGGCCAGGATGTGCCCCAGTCTCTCTTCCTCCCCGTCATCTGCTCCTGTGTGCTCTGATCAGATATATCCCTCTCCCGGTCGCTCTCCCTTTTCTGTGGAGACAGAAGCAACAACCTCTGCTTGGGTGGATTCGTGCCCTGTTCTACAATTGCCTTGTTTTTTCTTACCCCATGCCTCTGGGGACCATAAAGGCATATGGGTGGGGTGGGGGAGATGTCTTTCCACACAGTGGTATCTGTATCTTAAAAAATTTTTTGTGGGCGGCCAGGGAGGGGATATCAAAAGAGCAGCTGATCCCAAGGGCTCAATGGAAAGTAAATGTATAGAAAAGAACAATAGCAATATTTGTACAAATATGTAGGATACAATTGACGTATGGATTGTAGCAAGAGTTGTAAGAGCCCCCAGTAAAATGATTTTGATGACATATGCATCATTGGGTTTGTTCTGGCTCTTGCCAGAGTATCTGGTCCTCAGTCCAGGAACTTTGCAATATGTTCATTTTCCCCTATGCTCATTCTTTTTCCCATTGTCCAACCCACTTCAATGCCTTGAGTCCACCAGGTGAAGCTAGGCAATGATTCGGGGTGACAGTTTGCTTTGGCCTGGGACACTGTGAGAGGCTCATGGGATCGGATCTGCCACAAATCCAAACCCATGCACCCCCTATGCTCATTCTGTTGACTGAACTTATCCCAGGGGACTCATGTTGTACTTATCCTTTTGTACTTGGCTAACATCATTTAGCATAATATCCTCCAGCTGTTTCCATGAGGCAAGGTGCTTCATTGTTTCATCATTGTTTTTCAGGGATGCGTAGTACTCCATTGTGTGCATGTACCATAGGCTTGTTAATCTATTGATGGAAATGTAGGCTGTTTCCAATTCTTTGAGATAGTGAGCTGCCCAGCGATGAACATTGGTGTGTAGATGTCTGGTCATAGTATGTTTTTTATTTTTTCTGGGTATATACCCAGTAGTGGAATCGCTGGGTCATAAGGTAACTAGATTTCTATCTGTTTTAGGTTTCACCAAATGGTTTCCACAGTATCTGTACATATCTCCAAGACCACCAGCAGTGAATGAGAGTTCTTCCCTCACCACACTCCCTCCAACATTTGTTGACTTCTGGGGTGTTTATAATGGGGCTATCCGTGCAGGTGTTAGGTGGCATCTCATGGTTGTTTTGATTTGCATTTCTCAAATGGCTCAGATCGGGAGCATTTTCTCATATATTTATTGGCCATTTGGGTTTCTTCCTTTGTGAATCTTCTGTCACAGAGAAATTTTGGTAAGAAACTAGAGAATCATTGAAGGGAAATGTTTCATTCTCTTAATTGTATTTTGAAGTAATCAATGAGTCTCTAGTTATGGAAAAATAAACCTATTTGGGTGCCTTTAGATAATCTTATGCTTTTAAAAATGCCATCTGTAGTCCCCGTAACAGCTGCCGCACTATAGTGGATGTCATTGCATTTCTCTCAGTAAATTTCACACCTGAAATTGTTTTTGAGGAAATTTCTGAAAAAGTTGTTTGTGGCTTTTGAACAGGCTAACAATGAAATGGTTAAAATTTAAGTAGATAAGGCTTTCTGTGCGCCAAAGACATGCTCTAGTCTTAATCTAGATTCCTTTTAGTCTCCTTCCAACATTTTGCTGAAAAACATGCCTTAGTACTTATAAAAATGTTCAATTATTTTCACTTAGTAAGGTCCACACCTGAAAATTAAATTATGTTACCACTTGATTTACACACCACTTGACGAAAGTATTATTAATACAATAATTTGAAGAATGTAGAAACTATTCATACAATACCTTTTACTAAATGTGATTTAAAATTTATGTGTAATATGGGGAAATATAAGAATATTTTTTAAAAGCCTGGAAGGAAATATATACAGTAATCATTATAGTACAGTTAAAACATTTTATACGTGGATTTAAATTTTCTATAATTTAACAATTACAATTACACGAGTTTGATATGCAAGTAGTTTCAATAGTTAAAAGGTTCTACAACATTTATTACACAAAGCAGAGCCCCGGTTTTCACTTCTTTGCCCTCTCCTCTATCACCTTGAAACCACTAGATAAAATCAGCAGTTGATTCTCTTCTGATATTTGCCTCCTAATGACTGTAATTGGAACCCTGATGGCACAGTGATGCAAGCTCTCACCTTTAACTGAACAAGGAAGTCAGGATGCAACTGATGTTATTCCGTGATCACCTGTGGCCCTGGCTGTGATCAAGTTCCAGAAGTCATGTAGTGGTATTACTTTAAGTCTGGTATGCAAAAGGATCTTTCTGCAGGGAAGACGTATATTTTGCTGTATTGTGTGACTTTTCATTTTAATCCCATGATAGCTTGGCACCTGTGTCATAGTGAAACACTTCAATGAGCTTGAGAGTGGGCAAAGAGCCAGTCCAACAGATGGTCCTGAGAGATGGGGCCATGCACGGTATGATCATCAAGTGTGCTTGCCGAGGGCAGGGTTCCCTGCCAGAAAGGTCCAAATGCCTGCCTGAGGACTGGAGTCTTATTTTTAGGAGGATGATTAAAATAGAAAGAAGACAGAGGAAAAATCAACAAGAACAACAAGTTTCTTATTTGATATGCGAGAAGAGCCATGAGCCTTGGGAAAAGCAGCCTATTGGGAGTCAAAGTGCTTTGTAATAAGGCATTCACTCTGAGCATTTTTCTCTCTTCTACTCATCTGATGTCACACACACACACACACACACACACACACACAAGGATCATACTGGACATTCTGTTTAGTAAGGTGTTTATTATGTTACTCTTAATGGTTGCGTAATATTTCATTTTGGAGAGATATAGTTAATGAATCTTCTAGTTTTGGATCTTTAGCATGTTGTCATTTCCCCCCTATTATAAACATACTGAATAAACATACTAGTAACTAAGCTTTTGTGTATACCCATGATTCCCTTACAGAATTTATACGTTCAACGTTTTTGCTGCTTCTGCAAGTTTTCCATTGAAAAAGACAATCTTCAGTTGCATGAGAGTCTGGTGTCCCTGCAGTTTCTACAACATTAGAAATCACTATGTTTAGTCTATTAAAGTCTAAATAATTGGTGGATAAAAAATTCAATACCTTCGGTTTTTAAATTTACATTTCCTTTGGTCTAAGAATGTTGGGTAAGTAAGATTATTATTACATAGAAAGGAATCAGAGTGTATCAGGCACCAGTAAGAATGCTTTGCCTTAATGATAAGTTATTGTTGGCTTTCATTAGAAACTCTCAATTCATGAGGATCCAATGCACAGCAGAACAAACAAGTTAATGCCAGATTTAGAGGAGGACGTGGAAAACGAGATAACATTATTGATGTTAGAAAAATCTTGGCTGAAAGCAGAAGAATATAAGAAAGATGCTTGCCTGTGTTAATTGACTGTGTGAAAGTATTTGACTTGTGAATCTGAACAAATTTTGGAAACCATTGCCAAGAATAAGAATTCTAGAAAACCGAATTGTTCAGTTCATGCTGAACCCGTGCTTATTGTTTGAACAGGAAAATGGGATACTATATGGCATGAAATTAGAAAATGTGTGTGGCACAGTAGTGTTTGTTATCTTATTTATTCAACTGCATGCTAAATAAATAATCAAAGAATATGGGCTATCAGAAGAAGAATACAGCATTGGGACTGGAGGGATACTTACTAACGACTTACTGTATGCAGATGATCCAACTTGGCCTGCCAGATACGAGGACAACTGGAAGCACGTACTGCTGAAGGCCAAATGGAAGCTGTCAGAGATTTCATTCTTTTTGGATCAACAATCAGTGCCTATGAAAGCAGCAGCCTAGACATCAAAGGAAATATTACATTGGACAAATTTGCTATGAAAGACTTCTTTAAATTTTTTTAAAGCAAAGTGGTCCCTTTGATGACTAAAATGTGCCTAACCTATGCTTATTTTCTATCACCTCATGTTTATGTGACAGTTGGGTCATGTAAAAGGCAGGCTGAAGAAGAATTAACACATTCAACTTATAATGTTGGCCAAAAAAGGAATATACCATCGTTTTAGCCTGGTTTGACAAGAGAAACAAATTCAGTGACACTCATCTATGTGTAAGAAAAAGTTTCCCATCAGGAAGTAGTTATATATCAGGAGAACACCTCAGCCCAGGCCAACTCAAGTCCATAAATCTGATACTCATCCGTAAGTCTCTCTTCAGACGTATGCAGTAGCATGCAATGATGCAGAATGCAGGAAGACCACAGGCCCGAGGGTGCAAAGTCTGGCGGATACAATGACGGTTGCTCTGGCAGCAACCAGGATCAGCCAGCAGGAAGGTGAAGGCAGAGAGAGGTGGGGAAGTTCCCAGGACCCTCCTTATGAGAACGCCATGCCCACAAGGAGTCACCATCAGGCTGTGACCTGATGGGCAGGCTAAACTCCACCCCTACAGTTTATGTATCCTCAAGTTGACATGAAATTCTGTAACTGATACAACAATGAATTCATTAGTCTTTACTTTTTTAGGGGAAAAAAGTAGTAATGCATGCTTATTGTAAGTAGTGATTATTGTCCTTAAGTTGGCTTCAAGTTATAGTAACCTTTTTTCTAACAGAAGGAGAACGTGGTCCATCCTCATAGTCCATCCTCACAATCAGTGCTGTTTGAGCACATTGTGGCAGCCACTCCATAAACCCATCTCCTTGACGTTTCCACTTCACTAAGCACGTTGTCCTTCTCCAATAACTGGTCCCTGATGGACATGATGATATGTCCACAATAAACAAGAAAAAGTCTTGTCATTCTCACTTCTATTGAATATTTTGGGTCTCCAAGATACATTTGTTCATTGTTTAAAATCAATGTTTGAAATAATCACAGAGATATAAAACATTGGAAATATACCGAAAATACTTTTTAAAAATCCTGAGCCAGTTGAGAAGAAGATGCTGATCTGTTGCTATCTGAAATATTAGAAGTTTGAGTCTACTCGGCGGCACCTTGGAAGAAAGAGCTGGCAATCAACTTCAGAAACATCAGACATTGGAAGGACCATGGAGTACTGTTCTACTCAACACATGAGGAGTTGCCATCAGTTGACATCCACTCAGTAGCAACCGGTTTACTGGTTTATTGGGTCGAGTCAGTGATTCGAAAAAAATCCAGGCAGGAGGGCCTTATAAGGTGCGACCATGACAAGTAATTTGCCATAATTCACCAGGAGGCTCCATTTTTAAGAATAAGTCAAATTGGGTTTTTAAACAGAGAAGTAGTAGGGATAAGTATTCTGGAAATAATCTCATATAATGAGTCTCAATCCTTGAAAGCCTTGTTTTAATTTACTTTGGACAATATTAGCTACAATTACAAGAAGTAATGAAAAGCGTCAAAAGTTCTGTCAATTTTGTAAAGGCGAGCACTTTAAACAGTCAACTGTTTTCACAACTGTGCAACGAATTGGATGTACTGAATAATGCTCTGCTATTTCACACTAAAGTGAGATGGTAGTTGAGAGGAAAAGTTTGAAAATGTGTTTTGAGCTTTGTGATGAACTCATAACGTTTTTAAATCAGGAAACAAGACTGCAGTTTGAAGCACTTTTCAGCAATGAAAGTGAACTGCAATAAATAGCTTACTCGGTTGACATCTTTGCCATCTTGAAT